AGCAAATAATTTGGCGCTCCAGCTAACAGGAAGTCACTCAAGTGTCATAAAGTAATTTAGCCTATGGGTAGGTCAAAAATCTAATGGGTGCTGGCCATTGGCCTAATCACCTGTGTTGGCTTTATGTTTTTGGTCAAACATTTGTTTGTTTCACATTTGCATTGATGTAATCAATACTTTTTCTAATTTAATTTAATTAAAAAAAAGAAAAAAAGATATAAATATTTCTTGGGGGTGCTTAGGGGGTGCTTTGGCAATCCTGGGGGGTGCTTCAGCACCCCCTAGCTCCCCCCTGGCGCCGCCCCTGCTTAGGTTTCAAATAATTCTGTTAATTACTTATTGTAAAGCATTTGAACATTCTTTTGTGTCACATGTTCATTATTAAGTTGATGTATAACTGTATAGTATCTTAATTATTTAAAATATAAGGTGAACAAAAATGGCAACCGTATTTTCAGTTTTTGCAACCAAAAGCTGATGCCTGGTTGCCAGCCTGGCAACCACTTTTAAAAGTTAGCGTTGTGCCCTGTTACAGTTTGAGGGCTAATGATTGGCATTTCTCTGCCGGAATTTCTAAAGATGATTGATTCTTCCTCCCTCTGATTTGCAACCAGTTTTGTGACAAGGGGTGAGGTCATTTTGTGACAAGGGGTGAGGGGAGATGCTCATCTCCAAACATTTCCCACATAGCAATAGTACAGAGCTGGTTGTAAACCCTAACCCAATCTGCTTAACCTAACCCTTTAACTCAGACCTGCCCACTTTGTATCAATTGATTTATCCTATGATTGTTGCCAAAAGTGTGAGCAAGTCAGGGGGTTACCGGTTCAATCCCATCCACTGCAGTCAACAAGTCAAAGCGTCCTTGAGCAACATATATGTTACACCAAATTGTTCCCCTTGGCATGTCTGCAGTATTGAAGTATATTTTTTGGACATGGACATGTTGACTCAGACATGGTATGTCAAATGTATGTATGTAATTGTGTGTGTTGCGGACATGTTGATTAGGCTCAAGTTAGAAAAACGTAAATGCAGCCGCTTATCTTATCTTCAATAAAACATTTGGACCTTAATAACTCATAACATGCCATGATGCAACTCAACAAATTATGTAATGTTGATGGTGCTTTTTATTTAGGTTGCTGTCGGGTGGGCATTTTACAACAGATTATTTATGTGTGTAAGGCAAAGGAATGAACTTGTCTGAGTGTACTCTATTTTCGTGATGCGTCTGTGTTGTAATAATGCACATTTGTGTCTCGGGGCTTGAAGTATATATTAGTGCATCATTCGCTGGATGTTAATATTGTGTGTGTGTAATGTTGTGGGTTTTAGGATGTGTGTAATGTATTGTCATCTGTGAGTTTGATGCTTTGACATAACAGCTATATACACACAAACGACAGTAGTTTAAAGGCTGAGTGTACGTGTGTTGTGTTAGTGTTGAGTGCTGTCACATTCCCTTCCTTGTTAAAGCTAATAAATTGGCACTAACAGATGCAGGAGCTGCCGTCAGCTGCTCCTGGCTTGTTAGCATGTCAGTCTGCGTGGCTAATGTAGCACAAAGCCCAGCAGTTGTGTTCTCATTAATCAATAGTGCTTTTCTCTTGATACTGTAGTTAAGAGTGCATTTATGACTAGAACAGTCCATAGCCTAGCAGTAAGTATAAAGTGTGTCAGTATTGATCAATGTTATCAACAGGTTGGACCCTGAATGTGATGCCTGGGGTCAAACTATGACAGACACAAGGGCCCAAGCCTTTATGGGGCCCAAAGTAAAATGTGTCCATTCTGCATCAAAGGCTTTTGTTGAAAGTAGGAGGGGCACCAAATGGAGTAGAAGAAGAAGATTAACGAGTAGCATACTTATTAAGCTTATGAGTGATAGGTTGGCAGTACTCATGTACGTTTGTTATCAGGAAGACTTCACATGCCTGATGGAATTGATCAGTTCCGATATTGTGTTCAGCCTGCCCATTTATTTCAGCAACAAACTAAAGTTCTTACAGTGATCAACTCTGGAAATACGATTCCCGCTATATTTCTGATCTAGAAACAATTTGAAATCCACAAACCAAGCGACGGTACTACTGATATGTCAAACGTTTCACATTGTATGGCAAATATGGTTTACTTATTGTTGTGTTTTTGGTTTATCTTTAGATGGAAGTATATTTCACTAATTATTTAGGGGCTCTGATATAAAATGATATCAATCAATCAATCAATCAATAGGATACGGCTGTAATAGGCCTAAGGCCTTTTAGTCGCTCATAAATAAATAAGTAAATCACTGATTCTTTATTTATTATGGATGCTGGCAACAGTCACACAGTCCAAAGTGAAGGTGATGTTTGACCAGTAATGGTCGAGGCGGATATAAACAGTTGTAACTTGTATCAATCAGAAGGGTTTCACTCCTCTTTGTGAAATCACGTTGGGTTAAATTGCATTCTGTTTATCTTGTAATGTACACCTTAGGGCAAACAAGTAGTACCCGGGGGGGGGTGTTGACTTGAGCCGTCCCTTATATATACTGTCTTTTTACGTTAGTGAGCCGGATCATTTGGCTCGGCTCTCTTAAAGCGCCGGCTGTTTCGGCTCCCAAACGGCTCTTCATGTTACCACAGTTTACCACGGAGCCTCAGTTTCGCCACTGCGAGGCCCTGGTGTTCGCAGTTCACGCTCCACTAAAAACCCCCAGCTCATCGCGTCCAAATCGCGCATGTTCCGTGTTGCCCTGTGGCAGGCACCTTCGATGTCGGGGAAACGATCTTCAATACTCCGAAAAGAATCCCACCAAACTCCTTTGCCCCTCCAACAGAGGGATGTCCTTGTCCTTTTTCATTTTCGTCATTTCAAGCGATAAAAACTCTCGATCTTCTCTCAAATTATTAATATTTGTGGACGCCCTCGGCTCGTGTTCAGGGCATCCCGAGCTGAATAAGGGCGTCAAATGACGGCAAGACGCCCCCCTGGCAGAAACGCTGAGCGAGATATAAATATACTGTTGGTACTTGCCAATGTCTCTAGGTATTTACATGTAGCCCTGTAAATACGATGTCCTTTTGTGTTACCTGTTGTTTTATGTTCATGTTGTAACCTACTTGCTGCCATGTTGGAAAGGTCTCCCTTGAAAAAGAGATTGATTATCTCAATGGGACCATCTGGTTAAATAAAGGTTTAAAAAAAAAAAATTATTTTAAAAAAATCGCGGTATATTTTGTCAGTCTCACGACGGTATTGAGTCATTTATTTACCGCGATATTCGATATATCGTTACATCCCTAGTAGCTATACTTGAAACTCTTTCAGAATGCCTGATCTCCTGATATTTAACTCAGACAGGCTGGGCAGGAAACTAATTGTGGCCATTTGGCATGATCTCCTTCTATGACTCATTACCCAAAACTAAAGACCATAAGCAAGGTTTGGAATTTAGATTGGCCATAACAGCAATACAGGTGATGCAGCAACAATTCACCTGTCACATTCCATCTCACCTTCAACCCCAAAAGCCACTTAAACCTTTTTAAAAAGAACTGTGACTCACTCCCGACTCAAATTCTGAAATCAGCTGTTTTCATGAATCATACTATGGTGACAGACGTACTGTCATAGTACTGTATGTGTGTGTAAAGGTGTTTATGAGTGTTGATTATCCAACCATTCCTAAAGTGCTGCGAGGCTCTGTAGAAAATTGTGAAAATGAAGTGCCCCCAGGAGGACATTGGTTAGCGACTGCATTAAGCCATAAAAGTGCAAATAGAAACACATTAAACAATTCAAAATAAAGCTGGGCCATGTCCACTAACAGCAACTAAGGGACATCTGTGTATTACTTCTTTCACGACACAGAGCACTTTTCTATGCCATTATGTTACCGGTGATAGAAAAAAGGATGTGTTAAACAGATCGCAGGTGTATCCGTGTTGTACAGTACAGGTGTCTGGATAGGCCAAAATGGGCCACCTTTTAAATGAAGACATCTCTTTGTGTCTCGGCCAGTCCAAACCTCGACTTGGTTCCAAAGTGTTCATCGAGCATGCACATTTAATGGACTCTTTCATGTGAGTTTTTCCGGTAGCAGTGCTACAGGCATGGACTAAATATAAAACCCAAGATTGAGCGACACAAGCACATCCATTCATCATTTTGCCGTGGAATAGCCCCAACTTTTAAGTGCGAGGGCAAACGCATCTAAGACCTGATGCAGAATTGAAACTGATATCTATATTCTCTACTTAAGTAACATGTAATGGTATTTCCCTTCTCCTGAATGGTTTCTTCCAACAGAATAATCTCTCCCTTCATCTAACTTCTCTCCCTTTTTTAAAACCCTCTTTTTAGTTTCAACAGCGAGGTAGACCTGTCACCTCCTAACAGCCAGTCAGGGCCAAAACCACACGATGTTGTGATCTTCGGAATACTAAATATTCCCTTTGAATAATATCTCAAAATTGCATTGGTATCTCCTTCTGTTTCTTGCTCTCCCTTCTCTCATTACATATAATTAGAAGGAACCATGGTGTCCGACACCCACAAATAATTACCATGTCACTTTGCTCATTTGGCTTACTGGCACCTCAGTGTGTGTGTGTGTGAGTGTGTGTTTTTTTTTAACTGTTTCCTCTTCTGTTTTCTGTCTCAGGTCTGATAACCACAACTTCAAGGAAACTGGACCGTGAACAACAAACAGAACATGTTTTAGAGGTGAGCAAATTGTGACGTGATGTGAGTCTGTGCACGCACTACATTCAACAACATCCAGTAGATATCTTATTGATACTGGGATACTGGATATTCAATAGAACACTTTTTTTGGTACTGACCATAGGTGTAGTGCTGCCGGAGGGCACAGGAAGATCACTCCGAGAAAAAAAATGTTGCTGTAAAAAAAAAGGGGGCGTACTAATTTTTTACATGCTAAAGTTCACTGTCCACGCGCCTATTGTTAGCATCGCAACCAGGGCAGCACGGCTGTGCCCAGAGTAAAACAATTATTAAACCTTTTCAGCCGGAAAAAGGCTATTAAGATAAGATTAGATAGGACTTTATTCATCCTGAAGGAAATTGTTGTGCCAGAGTTACAAAAATACAATAAACAAAGCAGCATAATAATAAAACTGTACACTAACAGTGCAGAGCAATTAAATAACTACAAGAAACATACACGGTCACATAATTAATGTAAAATACTGTGCAGTGGCGAGCAGTATTTAGTAATGCAAAAAAAGCAGTGGCAGATACGTAATGTATATACGTATTATGCCTCCAATTAACGGAATATGAAGCAATAATCAAGCATCTGATGTGTTTCCGAGTGGTTATAATGAAGCAGCTTGATGTCATTTTAAGCAGATCTCAGAGGCTGCAGGTTTATCATTCTTTCTCCCTCACATGCTGCAGGGATTTCATGACGTGGCGCTTGTTATTCTGTAAAGCAGCTGTGGGCAGCCAGTCCTCTAAGAAAGCAAATACATTCGGTCAGTGATCAATGCAAACTGGTTTACTGATTGTCCTGCTGTGTCCATTCTGGTTACATTAGTTTCCAAACCAGCCGCAACCGTGCATGCAGGCAAGCGTCACAGAAACAAATAGCCCTACGTCCCTGGTACTGACTACAATATATCCTATATGATGTCACGTATTGAAAGTTGGCATCAAATTGCGGTCTGACCTGCAGTCATCTTGACCTATTCTTTGATTCGGCAGTTACAGATTTTACCAAATTTGTGCTCTCATAAGGATGCTTATGTTCAGACACGATTCAACATCTGATATTTTGTACATGTAAGTTCATTTATGCATGCATGACCTTTAACATTTCCCAAGAGTCTTAAAGGTCCCATGTCATGCTTTTCTGGTTATTACCCGTCCCTTTGTGTGTTATGTAGCTTTTTCTGCATGTAAACGGTCTGCAGAGTCACAAACCCTCAAAGTACACCCTGTAGCGAGTAGAACTCTAACACAGAAAAGACCTGTCTATGCTGCCCCAGAACGCCTCGTTGGACATTTCTCTTTGTCCATTGTTTTCTTCCTGGGTACAGTGACGTGCCCATACCCAAATGGACCAATCCGTGGACTTCCTCACACACACACACACTCAATCTTTTCTCAGCTGCAGCGCCGCCGATTTCTCCTCCCTGAGATGGTGGGATGCGACGAGGCTGTGAGTCTGTGCTGTCTGAGAAACCAATGTGAATTGGAAAATTGCACAATATAAATCTATTCTAGTAGACCTCAACAATGGAATTATGATCAGTAGAAATGGCCATGACATGGGACCTTTAAAGTCACAAGGAGTCAGAGCTAACAACAAACAGCCCCCACCTCAGTGAGGTTTGCATTAGCTCGGAAATAGAGTCGGTGTGAAACGGTGTGCGTGCAGTGGTCTCTGTTAGAAAAATAATGGGAACCTGTCTCCACTCTGCTCTAGCGTGATTAGAGATAAATTGCGACACTGGCTTTCACATGACTCATAGAATCCAGTGTGGGTGTAGACTGTGTGCTTGTGTTTTGCATGCTGTTTGTGTATCTGTGTTTGTTGGCTGTGAGCAAACTGGGGACAAGCAACAAAAAAATGGTACATTGCGCTTTCGTTTTTGCCTGGTTCGTGTTCACATTGACGAACAAAAAGGATTTAAAGGGGACCTATCATGCAAAATGCACCTTTGTACGTCTTTTATACATGAATATGTGTCCCCGGTGTTCCAGGGAACTCACCAAGTGTCAGAAAACACAACCCTCTCTATTTTCCTCCTTAGCCAAATCTCTAAAAAAGGGGCTGCAACGGATCTGGAAAAAAAACGGATCCAGATTTCAACACTTTTCTACGTCACAAAGAGGTGCTCCGCTTATTGATCAACTCTCCAACTATCAGGGGAATGAGCCACGGCCACGTGCATTGCCAAACCTCTCATTCGCATACTGTAGGACGGATTTCCGTCCATTTGGCTATTCAAATGTTAACGAAACGGACAGACTTCCGTGCACATCAGCGGCTGTCGGATTAAAACAGTTTAATGCACTTTTAACACTCACGTACCCAGGATTCCTGCTCCTTTCCTGGGTTAAAAAGTGAGGTGACGCAGCCTGTCCTCTGGGTGCGCTCTGTGGGGGGGGGGTACGCAGCCTGCTCCTCTCTGCCTGCCTGCCTGCGGATCGCTCTGCCTCTATCCACCACAAATTTTCCCCGCCTTTCAGAGACTTATGCTGGGTCAAACTCTAAGTTACAAACGTACACATTGCATTCTTGCTAATTAGCCAAAATATGATCGCGAATAAGTAGCAAGCATCGTAAACAAACAGAGCAAAATAAATAGGGACAACAGCTTGTCAACCATACTGCCAACCTTTAGACCTCAGAAAATCGGAGCATTTTCCAAAATGCAATATGGGGGGGGTGTTTAGTGGATCGCCGGAGCTGTTAGATTAACATTAAACATGCTTATTGTAGTTGTAAGTGCACTGCCTTGCGGAGGGCCCTGTAACAGTCCGTCCTTGATGGCGGCATATGTGTGGGCTGGACCTGTTACATTTCTACAGGAAAGGACGTGAGCAGAGAGTAGAGTAGTTCGGTCGATTCTTGTTCTGTTTTCTGTGAATATCTGCCTCACCCTCTCAGACTTGGGTTGCACGCTATTAACAGAGACGTGTTTACCATGGAAACCAAACAATGGTGTAGCCTGTATTAAAGGTCCGAGTGGAAACAGTTGTGTGTAAATCTGATTTGTCAGAAATCGGAGAAAATGCGGAGAGAAATATGACCCCGGGAGGAAACCGCGGAGAGGGCAATGAAATCGGGAATCTCCCGTGATAAATCGGCGAGGTGTTGACAAGTATGTTGTCGAATGAACCATCAGAAACGTCCTGGCTGCAACCGAGATGTTTTGCACCTCCCACCAAAACCTCCGCTGCTTTATAGGGTCAGTTTCTGAGATCAAAATTTGATAATATGCTTGAACACATGCATTTGCTCTGGAGATGACATGTTATTCCCACTCGTAATCACAGCAACATGGTACGTGACTTCTCGCCGGCTCATGGCCCCCCCTCTTCTGCAGGGGCGTGTCAGCTGTGCTCAGGAAATTTCAAAGACCAGGGCTTGGAATAGAGCGAAAATGAGCGCGAAAACGAGCATGGCTAAAAAATGATCTGTATTGGTATTTTGAAAAATAAAATGTATAATGATACCTTATATAGGTATGCGTCATACCACTAATACATTTAATACTAAAGCATGATAGTCTCCTTTAATGCGGGGCAAAAACCTGAGATTATTTTACAAGCTAAACCTGACAGCTGTCGGTTTTGGAAGACTAAGCACTTATCGTCATAGCGTATTTTTCTGGCAGAAAGAAAGCTCAACATTCATAGGCAGCCAACATCCAGGGGATCTGGCATGGGCTTACCTATTTGGGCTACTTGAAATGAGTTTGACGTAATTTTATTCTCCATGAACACTACGGAAAAGTGTCTGACTGTTGCTGTGAGTTATAGTGGAAATCTTATGATCGGGAAGGTCAGGGGTTCGATTCCCATTCCCTGAAGTTCAATATGTCGATGTATCCTTGGCAAGCAAGCAAGGCTTTACTATCAGTTGCTCCCGATGGAATGGTAGTGTGTTGAACATTAAGCCTCCCTGAGCAGGTGACACCCTGTTGTATGGCAGCCTCTTGCCTCTGTATGAAAAGTGTGTGAATGCAGAATGCCTGACTTGTAAATGTATAAGCGCTCTTGAGAGGTCGTTAAGACTGAAAGCCACCTATATAAATGCAGCTCCATTTACAAATTGCTCTCACACTTTTGTATGAAGGCAGCTCTGTCCACAGCTCGAGTCTGACAGACCGGTCGATGATTCTTTACGGAGATAAAAGTTCAACACTCTATCGGCGCAGCAAAAATCCACCGCTGACCGCGCGCCAATTATGAAGTAGATATGTGCAAAATTGTGGGAGCTTGTAAAACCTGATGTGAGCACTTGCAGGAAAAAAAATCTCGCAGCTTGTGCTGCCCATACATTTAAAATCTTCTAGTAAAATTACACGCTCATCTGTGAACCAAATTTGAAGTCACAGAAGAAAAAAATTGAACATAGTGATGAAATGTTCACTTGCAAATTATTATTTATTTTTTTTCATATTTTCCATTGCCAACTGCAACTTGGTTTTGTTACAACCTCTCAAGATTACAACTCACGATCTGCCTTGTGGCAGTATACATCGACAAATCTGCGGCCTTGACTTTAGCCTCACGACTTCTTGCGAATTTAATATGTCGCTAAAAGCAGTGGTTCCTCAAAAGCTGGAGGGCGCAGGAGGCATGCCAGGGGGGCCGCGAGAGACCAGAGGAAAAATGGTTTATAAAAAAAAAAGAAATCATAAAATTGAAAAATTATTATTGGAAAATAATATGATGCAGTACTATTAATATGGGCTCGAACGAGCTCTTAATACACAAAACTGCACACAGAGCGATCCAACACTTGTATTTCATGATCCACAAAAGGATTCACATTGTATTTCCGGATCCACACTTGTGTTTTTCAATGCAAACACGAAATGTGCTTCCGTTTCATGATACATGTAAATAAAGATCCAAACACAGCGAAAAATTTTACATATGTATTTTTGATCCACACATATTGTCCGTTATTTAAATCCTCTGATATCGCTATATCATTTCTAAAATCTCTGTTCTCCCTGTTGTGTGTTGATATCTCTATCTTCTTTGTTTGTCCAATTCCCTGATTCTATCTGTATATTTCTCTTCATTCATTATCCAATCAATTGTCCCTCCAGTCTAGCCAATTCACCATGATGCTGCTTGCTCCTCTACGTATTGGGGTGGGTTTTTTATTTTTATATATCTCCTATTTTGCGCTGTCGCGGTTCAGCTTCCGCTTAACAGTATATGTGTGTTCTCTCTCTGAGTGATCTATGCTATGTGAGCTGCCGGTTGTTCCGTCAGACTCAGGCAGCTGGATCTTGATTGCTCTTCTTCTTGGTTTTGTATCCCTTTCTTATTCCTTTATCTATGTTCCTTTTTATGTAGCATCTTTCGATCAAACTTTTATGTCGATAATGTCTTCTCCCCGTTACTGTTCTATTGGTTCTTCTCTTCTGAATCTAGGCCTAAGCCTAACCTGTAGCTGCTCCTTCCACACTCACAACAACTCATGCAGACATAATATATTCATATATTTATTTTAATCGTTTTTCTCTCCGTTAACACAAGCTCTTTATCTATAATGCGTTCGAATTTTTGTCTCTCTTTGTCCTTTTTTATATTATATATTAATTCATGTGGTCGCATTCCTGTCATATATATCTCTTCTATGTTGGTTTTTTCGTTAGCGCCTTCAGGCTCTAGTCTCCTTCCTATGTATCTTTGTGTCTTATTTTCTGTCTTTCTTTCTATATTGCTTATGAAGCGCTACGTCATGAACGCAAGAAACTACCCTCGTGGGGGCGCGCTCATTTGTTATAATTGAGGGTGCACATCTGATTGGCCCTATAGATAGAAAATTTAAGTACGAATCGGCTCACCTCAGGGGAGTCTCAAAAAACCCACACAGAATGCACAGCAGATCTTGCACAGAAAGCGGTTTGGATGTTTGCAGGTTCGAGTTTTCAAACGGAAAACAAATATGTGTGGGATCAAAAATACACATTAAAAACTTTTTTTCTGTATTTGGATTTTTATTACATGTATATGAAACGGATCACATTTGTGTGTGCATTAAAACACAAGGTGAATCCTTTTGTGGATCATGAAATACAAGGTGGAATCTTCTGTGTGCATGGGTGTATTACTGTTCTGAGCCCATAGCTATTTACGGCTCTGTGTGTGTGGTGGAACGAGCCATTTTGTGTGCGCGAGATAGAGAGAGCGCACCGGTACCGGACGATCGTTGTTGTTAGCTTCTGTGCTAGCGAGCTACCTAATCGGATATAAGTGAGCTTTTTTCAACATACAAGTGTTGTTTGTATATTTCTATAAATTGTAAACAAATATTCCGAGGTCACACGTTTATATGATCGATTATAGTTATAATAGATAACAACGTAGAGATAGTGAAAAAACAGTTATGGATAATAGCTATATGACAGTAAACATAAATAACGGTTTGAAAAGTGTGATACTTGTGGAATATCCATTAATAAATAAGGTAAATCTGGTTAACAGTTTCTGTTTCAAGCGTTGTGTTGATTTATTATTTTCCATATGTATTCTCCTTATTTTGCATTTCTATATATATATTGTTCCCAGATTATGTCTTTATTTTTCTTTTATATATTAAAAATAAATCTTCCCGGCGAGCTATTTCTCTCTCTTCTCGGACCCCCCTTTTATATTTGTATAAGGTTCCACACACCACTTTTTTTTATTACATATATATGCTATCTGTCTCTCTTCTGCGTTACACCTATATGCCGTGAGCTTTTTATATCTGTATCTCTTTACTTTCTATCTATTTGGCGTTTGGAGGTATGTTGCAATAGAAATTCCACGTAGCGACGCGGTACATTAATGGAAACCCTAAATGTTTGAGGCACGCCTCTCCTGAACGTCAAGTACCCCCACAGGGTTAGGGCCTGACAGAAAAAGTTTGAGAAGCCACTGCGGGCTCTAATTATGTATTTCTCCTTTGTTATGATGTGCTGCTTGATGTTTGTTTAGGTGGGTGAGCGATAGGGGTGGAGCTATCAGATACGACGAGTGCTGCCTTAATTGCTGTGTGTCATTCACATCATGTGATGGAAGTGCCGCTTCGCTGTGAGCGCGGGGGATCATTTGCGTGCGGCTCATTGCGCAAGTGTAAGAGCGGTGCTCTTCGTACCTGCCCTAAACGGCCTTCTAGTTTTACCTTTTATAATTAAATCATATATTTTGTGGCTCTTGTTTTTGGACTCTATGTGATGTTACATTGTAACATATATGCGCACTTAAGATGATTCGAATACATCCTTTGCTAGCTGAGAGTATTAAAAGTAGAAAATACAGTGTGTTATGATAAAATGATTTTGATGGCCAATTGCTGGTTCAGTGCATTTAGCAGACCGTGTAACTCTCTGATACCCGCACCCAGATGAATGCATGACTTGCTTGTGGAAGCCGGCACGCTACACAAATTGCAGAGTAGCAACAACGTCCTATAGTAAAACTTAAGCATAGTAAATTTAAAAAAGGGCTACTGTATCGACATTGTAAAATTATATTTAAAGAGAAAGGCCTGAAGCAAAACAGCGGAGGCTCATTCAGTAACGTATGTAACTATAGAAAAAAAGACCAGCAGAACAGCTTGACATCAAATCTTTCTGAGCCTCAAGGATAATCATACATAAATGAACATAGTGAAGAATAAATATATTGCAATGCTCAAATCAGCAGCGAGTCCACCGTCGGTCTAATCAGTGAAAAAAAGCATAATAAAAAATAGAGATGGTATGTGCAGATCCTGAAAAAGCATGCAGCATGGTC